TCTCAGTTTTCTTTCTAGGACCTGCTATATGTCAGGCATTGGAGTAGGGTAGAGATAAAACAGGAACCCATTTTTATTTTTGCTCTCGGATGTTGAAACTATTTATCTCTGGAATGACCCATTAGAACAGACATTGGCCAATGAAAATCTCCAGGGGCCTTAAGATATGGTTGGTGGGCACTGACTGCTCAGTTTCTGGATTATGAAGGGTTGGGGGGATTCCAAGTAGTGGCAAAATATGAGGGAAACTACTTTCAAAGGTACAGTTACTTTTCAGCTGCTAAGGAAGTATTTAAAGACTGTATTCTCTGTCCTAGAATACAGGGACAGTCTCTGACTCTTACTCTTCCTGATCTCAGACATATACCTCAAGATAAAGATAAGGAAGCACCTGGCTTCTGAAAGCAGAGACCAGGGACTGCCATCCTGGTCACTGGCCGGCACCCTGCCCTTGGGATTTGCTTTCTGTTAGTCTAATAGCTCTTGGCTGAGTGGGGCTCGGTTGGTGAGAAGGCACAGAGCCATCCATGCATCAGACAACTTTCCAGGTATGTAGCGGTCACATTGTGACCCCCTTTTGTTGGGATCTGAGCAGACTGTCATGTAGAGGGACAATGGCCAGCCCTTGTAAGCCAGGAGGACTGGCCATTGTGGAAGATGTCAGATCTTAGCTGCCAAACTCAGTTTCAGCCCTGTACCAAGTACAAAGACTGTGGCCTCTGTCTCTTCCATTCTCATTTAACATGGTTGTGGATATGTAGATGGATATTGATACATTGAGGAAATAGCTGGAGATCTCACTGAGAATCTTGTTTCCTTGCTTGGTTTGAGAAGAACAGACTTGAGGTTTGGTCCTAGCCTTGAGGCCAAATATGGTTCCAAAGAGAGTAAGATGCTGCACTCAGGGTCTGTGGTGGGCTGGCTGTTCCTGCCACTTGCTCCTCGTCCCATACCAAGCACAGGTGTTACTGCTGGTATCAGTTGTCAGCTGAGAGAAGCAAGTTCTATACTTGACAGAGCTTGTGTGCCACGGGCTTCTGAAAAATCACCCATGGTGATTTTTATGGCACAGCTCTGGCTGGTTGTATGTTGACTCCCAGTCAGGGAGGGGTTCCACAAACCAGAAGCCCCTCTAACACCCTTCCAGACTGGTCTAGTCTTTCTCCTTCTCCATTCTCATTAGTGGCCCATTCTCATTGTGGGAAAGAATGAAGGAGTCTGAGTTTGTATCCACACAGGGACTAAACGTAAGGAGCTCAGAGCGCCCTCTTTGGGGCCCCCTGCTCTGCCTCCTGCCCTGCCCCCTGCTCTGCCCCTCCCTGAGGATTCCTAGAGCTGCCTTCTCCCGAGCAGGGCAGTCACCCCCCTCTTTAGTAGCTGCTGTTTTCATAAGCTAATGAGGGCAGAGTGTAAGCCACAGGCGATGATGCTGGGGTATTAACTGTGACAGGAATCTTGATCATAATTATCTTAACGAGGATAGGGTTAATTACAGTGGAAACTTAAAAGTTATCTCCGTTTGAATCCACTGGAGCTGAATGCATTGTGATGTTTTGTCATTTTGATGTGACTTTGGAAAAGGCACTAGGACTCTCTTGCTGCTGCAGCTCCTGTGAGAGCTCAGGCTGAGCCAGCAATCCAGGTGACTGAGGGGGTAGCTGTGGGGTAGGATCATGGCAGCTCTTTTGCCAGTAGATGGGGGGCAGGCAGCCAGGTAGGAGTTCTGGAGGAGCTGATGAGATTCCCGGAAGAAACCACCTGCCACCAAACAGCCCTCGCCTCGTCTCTATCTCCCTGCCTGTTCTTGGTGGTTCTTTACCAGACTGGGAGGTACTATCTCCGGCTGGCTTTGCCCAGAAGTGGGTAAAACTTTGCCAGCCACGTCTAGCACCCTGGCCCATGCCTCAGACATCAGTCACCACCAGGGAAGCGGATGAAGAGCTTTGGAATGATTGTCACTACCTCCATCAGTTCATTTATTTTGAGGTACATTTGTTCAACCTACACATGATTATAGTAGGTTAGAAACTACAGTTCCCTTGTCATCACCTCTAAGGTTACTACCGCTGTCCCATTAAGCAGTGTAGACTTGTGTGCATCTTTAAAACCCTTTCCATTTTATTTTTTCCCTGGTCGTTTTATTTCACAGTGCAGATCTATTTGCACTATCTATGTGTTATAGAGGGGTATGAACTCAAAGATTGTTCCAAGTAATTTTGCTTTCATGCTCCTTTCTTGGAGAACAACCACTACAATAATCACTAGGAAGAAAATTAAAAGTGAAAAATAAAGCCGTCTTCCAAGTGTATATTTATTAACCTCCACATGCCAGCCAAGTCCCACAAATCCTTCCCTGTAGCCTCACAGCACTCCGCTCTCTGTCTCTCATCCTCAGACCCGCAGCTCTGAACAAAGCTGATTAAATGACCAAAATGTTCAGCACACCGATAACATCAAAATAGGGATTTATTAGTCAACAGCCCCCAAGTAACATGGCTCTTTCTTTACTGAGAAGCTAATGACATAATGTGAGAAAGAAAAAACAATCTCTGAAGGAGGATTTGAAAGGAGCTCTCCTGGAGGCTTCACTCTGCAAGGGAGCTCTGCCCCGAGCTTGCACACTGAGGGAGAGGACAAATATGCTGGCAGGCCGGGGGAGGAGGGGGAAGAGGGGGGAGAGTGACCTCTTTTGCAGCTTTGTCCCTCACCATGCTGTGTCATTCGTGTCATTTTGTTTTCTGCCTTCCCCCAAAGCATATTGGATGAAGCTTTCTTCTTCTGCATGCCAGTTGCCAGCCATTTGCTGATTCTCATGATAAAAGTATAATATTTGCATAACATAACTCGGGAACAATGTGTATGTGGATGCTGTCTTTGACCAGAGTCCAGCTGAGATTTGTACACAAAGAACTTATTAGCCACCCATAAAGCTGTCAGGCAGGAGGCAGCCCCCTTTCTCTCCTCTGGTGGTGAAGAGCCTGGTCCTGAGCATCACTCATTGACAGTCCTTCCCAATTCAGAAAGGGTCTTTATAAGACCTAGCATATCTCAGTGGGTTTGTTCATCTGCCCACCCTGTTTTTCCAACACATGTCCAAAGTCAGAGCCTATAGGGTAGAGGGTGATCAATGAATGAAAAAAGAAATGGAGTAACAAGGGAAGGAGAGAAGGAATATTTACAACTTAGTCTTCGTCTCCATTTCTATAAGATCCTGTAAACTAGCAGGAACACAGGCAAAAAGTTCAGGTTAGCTGACAGTGAGCCTGAATTCACACTGAATGGAATTAATGGAATTTTATTTTGCTGTCTCAAAACCAGTAGGAAGATGAGGAAGGCTGAGTAGGAAATAAAATAGCATGGCCTGCAACCCAAAGTATGTGCAGTACTTTCCTTTCAGCTTGGGCCCGACAGTGCTTGGCCATTGCTGCTGAGGCAAGGTGCTCTGGGTAGTAGAGCCATAGTGGGACCACTTTGAGATCTGACAGGGAGGAAGCAGGAGGATCTGTGGGTCCAGTGGAATCTCAGGTTTAATTTCTTACACTGCAGCTTACACATGGTAAGTATGGACTCCCTATTCCAGAGGCCTCTTAGTAGAGTCCCACCAAGGAGCTCTGGGTGTTAAAGTTCACGTACCCCATCGTGCATACATTGCATATGCAAGCTCAGAGAACTGCAATGTAGAGGCTAGTCCTGCACGAATAAATAACCCTGATGACATCTTCCTGATTCGTCACATTTTATGGAATAGGCAGGGAACCCATGCTAGTTCTCCCTCTGGTAGATGTCATAGCTCAGCTGTCAGCCTGTGCAAGCTCAGCATATCTCCTGGGTCCAGCAGGTGAGTGAGCGGGAGAGCATGTGTTTGCAAAAGCCTCTGGATCTGCCACTTGCCTTAATTAATGTCTCTGCCTGTGCTCAGGCGATCACTTGTACACAACTGCCCAGCATCGCCTCTCTCCCCAACACTCACAAAGAGCTCATCCCATAAAGAGTTAACTTCCAGTTAAGTGTGTAAACAAGGCCATTTTCCCTCCTTTCTGATAGAGTATTTGTTCCCCCTGCACTGGATGCTTAATCTTCTTAGTTGCCTCCCCTACCCCCCCCCACTGTCTCCACGTCTACACTTTGTACTAGACTCTATAGTTTGTTTTAAAAAATAAAGTGAGAAATCCACTTGCATACATTAAAATAGGAACTTCAGGCCAGGAGCTTTGAAATAGACAGTTTCCCCGATCATTCTTCTTTCCTTCAAACAAAACAAAAACAAATAAAAAGAAAGAATGAAAAGGGGGAAAAGCCCTCTTGGGCTGGAGTGATGTAATTCTGCAGATGTCTTGCTTGTTGGGCAGTCAACAGGGACACTGGATAGAAGCAAAGAGTGATTAGAAAAGAAAAAAAGGCAGGGAGGGGCTGGAGAGGGTAACAATAAGGGGTGGGGGGGCATCCAAAGATGTGAAAAGAGAGAAAAGAAACCTTCCTTGCCATTTCCCCTACGACTGCACGGAAAAGAACCGCTAAGAAATGATACTTGAAGTTATATTTATTATTGTAAGAGGGGTATGATATTTCTAGGCAGGAATGATGGATGACAACTTAAATTTGTGTCCAGGGAATGAAGGTGAACTGTGACAGAGTTATTTATCTTGGGAATGGAGGTTAGGGTCAGCCCAGGCTGGGTGCCTGAAGGCACAAGACATTGACAAATTTATCCTGCAGGCCGTATCTGAAGCCCTTTGTTTTGGATCCTGGCTACTTACTAAGTGACCCTCATCCTTCATGTTGGCAATGCGTGAAGGATGCAGGGAGTGCCAGCGGCCCCTTCTCCCCACCGCCCCCACCCCTGGCTCCCACTACTAATTCTTGTCATTCACTTTGCTGACAGGCACCAAGCCCAAACTATTCCCAGTCCTGAAAGGGAAGGTTAAAATATTTATTTCGGCTCATAATAGCCTCTCTGATTTAGTGCAGGATCATTTTTCCTCTTGCCTTTGTCATTGCAGGTCACTGGAAGGACTGAGCGCATTCAGGAGCTTGGAGGAGCTCATCTTGGACAACAATCTGCTGGGGGACGACCTTGTGTTGCCAGGGTTACCCCAGCTGCACACCTTAACCCTCAACAAGAACCAAATATCCTTTTCTCTGCCCGCTGTGCCTGTTCTCCCCCTTCCTGCCTGGCCCCCTACTTCCCGTCCAGACTTAGTTGTCCCCTCTTGCCCCCCCTTCCATTCCCGCCCCACACAAATACCTGCAAAATGTCAAATGAGTTTTATGTGTCAGCTAAATTAAAGTATGTGAAATACAGTCCATGGGCAGACAAAGCGTTCTGTCTTCTGGCACTCAGGACACTTCAGAGTAATTTATTATAGGTCATTCATAAATGAAATGCACCATTATATCTTCCTGTTGCTCCATTTTAGTGTAGAGATCTAAGTTATGGCTGCGAAGAAATCTTTTTAATAGATAAAAATAGAGAAAGAAAATAATGTCACTGCCGTGGAGGAGGCAAAGCCGCTTCTGTTTGCTTGGGCTTGTGTGGGAGGGCGGCCTCTGGTGGGAAATAGGAGGTAATGCCGCTAAGCAAACTTTGGCCTCCTCTGGAAGTTTTTGGAAGGTGCTGGAAGGTGCTGTTGCAGGCTGAGGGACGATCTGGAGAGGGTGAGGAGGGAGGAAAGAACTGAGACGGAAAGACGCATTTGAATACCAGACCTGGCTCTGTCTTCCTGTGACTACCATCTTGGGCTGTGATGAGAGGCATAGAAAAACATTGTAGGGTGTGGCTTCCCCTAAGAAGGTGAGCACCTAATCCAGATGGAGTTGGGGTTCAGGAAATGAACTGCTTTGGAATTCTCCTTTGTTGGGAGTCTGGATTACCATACACTAAAATGCCCGCCCTGGGAAGCAAGGAGTTCTCTATGTCTTAAACATAGATAAAATTGCCTGGCACAGAGGACCCATTCCATAAATAATCAAGAATGAAGAAATTAATCATTATTAGTAGCATTTCATGATTAAAATATTCATAGGCCCTAGGTAATTCTTAGGGTACTTTATAGCAATTTTTATTCTTACTAAGCCCTGTGAGAAGGGTGTCATTTTAAAAAATTTATCTAGATGCTGAAAGAGGTGAGGCATAGGCCTCCCCGGGTCAGACAGCTGCCCAGATGCTAGGCCTCAGTTTCAATCCCAGCTGTGGTTGTATCCAAAGTTCAGACTGGAAGTCTGATTGTTTTATTGATGGAACATTTGAGACCTAGAGTAGTTAAATCACTTGTTCACATTGACACAATAAGTTAGAAAAGGGACCAGAATATTTCCTTTTGGTTGTAAAATATAAGCAGACATACACATTAAGTTTAGCATATTTGCATATGTCAGCATTTGGTTTTTTTTTTTCCAGAAGCAGTTATTAGCCACTGTTTATAGTTCAATCCGTAAGCTAGTATTTTCTTTATTCTGTGAAATACTGTCTAGGTCAGCACTTGCTTCATGACAGAATACCACTGTCTGGGTAACAACAAAGGTTTCTTTGGAATTGGAGAAGCTAGGGATATGGAAACAGGAGGCCAGTGTGGATTCTTGATGATGACTTGTGTTGAATCCTTACATGGTGGAGAGTGGAAGTGAACATGAGGAGGCCAGTTTTCTCCTGTCTCTATATAATTGCAGGGATCCCATCATATGGGCTTTACGTTTATGATCTAATAACTTCCCCAATGATTAGGGTTTCAACATGTGAATTTGGGGTACATACAAGTATTCAGACCTTAACAGATTTGCTCCTGGTGGCTATTATTAATGGATACTTTCACAGAAATATAAGTAGAAGACATGTAAGTAAATACATAGTCTGTGTTAATGAAATTTTAGTGGCTTTTCCTCTTCTGTCCTTTGGTCAACCAGCTATCCTAGTTATTTGAAAACTTATTGTAGCTAATGAGTTTTGTGGTTTTGTTGGCTGTCTTTAGTGATTAATTTGACAATATTCTTAATCAAAGATAGGATGGTTATTAAAGTAGAATTTAGGTAATATAGTTTTCCCTTGAGCCCTAGTGCTCATGACTTGTATCACTTGTCACTGTAGTTATTAGAATCTATAAACTTGAGTTCATGAGTCAGCTTAGTCAGATTTAGCTGTATGGGCATGGACAAGTCATTTTCTGAGACCCTCTGTTCCTCACCTGTAAAGAAATAAGTTGGACTGGATGACGGTTTCATTTTTAAGGTTGCCAATAGCAAACGAGTTCATGAGTCAGCTTAGTCAGATTTGGCTGTATGGCCATGGACAAGTCATTTTCTGAGACCCTCTGTTCCTCACCCGTAAAGAAATAAGTTGGGCTGGATGATGGTTTCATTTTTAAGGTTGGTGATAGCAGACTTTAATGGGTTTCTTGGCTCCAAAAGCTGAGGATTATATTTGTCCTTGGTTGAGTCCTTTTGCTACTCTGTGCCTCGAACTTCCTGGAGCTTCAGTGGTAATATTGTGAAAGTAATAAGAATAGCCTGGGAAGGGCAGAAGCTGAAGGCACCATGTAGCTGTAAACCTGACTTATTATAACGCTGTCTAGAGCCAAGGGTGCAATGTGGCTTCTTTCCTTTTTTCCTTCTCTTAATGGTAATAAAGATCAGCTTTCCCTTCCACTTCACTTAGAAGTCACAGACCGAAAGGTAGGTAAATTCATGCCATCCTAACACTCCTGATTCTACCTTTTCAACCCACACAATCTCCTGCCTATTATGAAAATGGTTCAGGCTCTCAAACAATTGGTAGCTTCCACATTGCTGTTGCTCCCCGTGAAATGCCTTAGACACAGGCTCTATCAGTTAATTTTTGCCACACAATAATCTGTCTTGGAATTTAGTGGCTTAAAACAACAAATATTTTATGTGTTTACAATTCTATGGCTCAGTTCATTGTCTGGGGCTAGTTGGATGGTTTTTTTGCTAGTCTTACTTTAGGTCACTCATACATCTAGCTAGAGCTGGATGGTCTGAGATGGTTTTGCTCTTATGTCCAGAGGTTGATGCTGGTTATTGGTTGGATTACAGGTCTCTAGAATGCTTTATAAACCACATCACATGAACATGGTATTCTAGGAGCTCAATCACCCATGTACAAGTACGTTGTAAGTCCTACTTGTATTGTGAAAGCAAGCCAAATGTAGAATAAACATGGGAGGGGAACCACACACATTGTGGATATAAAGAACAAGAGCTCATTCCTTTAGCACTGTCTATACAGATCTTAGCATCCTTTCTTCTGAAAATTTGACTTCATTTTTGTGATGAAAGGAGCTCTAGAATCAACTCATTATTGGCCTCTTAAAAAGTATTAGTTCTTTTTGGGGCTGGGAAGTTGGCTCAGTGGTAGAGCACTTGCCTTGCATGCATGAGGCCCTGGGTTTGATTCCTCAGCACCACATAAGCAAAAAGAAAAAATCCAGAAGTGGCACTGTGGCTCAAGTGGTAGAGCGCTAGCCTTGAGCTGAAGAGCTGAGGGACAACGCCCAGGCCCAGAGTTCAGGCCCCACGACCAGACCCCAAAAAAATAAAAAATTAAAAAAAGTATTAGTTCTTTCTTGTAAATAAGATCTTTGAACACGTTGGGAATCTTATCCAAAATTGGTTTTTTTTTTTTTTTTTTTGCCAGTCTTGGGGCCTGAACTCTGGGCCTGAGCGCTGTCCCTTAGCTCTTCAGCTCAAGGCTAGTGCTCTACCAATTGAGCCACAGTGCCGGCTTTTTTCCTGCTTATGTGGTGCTGAGGAATCGAAGCCAGGACCTCATGCCTGTGAGGCAAGCACTCTACAACTGAGCCACCTTCCCAGCCCTGGGATTTTTAAAAATCAAATTCTTGTGTGTGTGTGTGTGTGTGTGTGTGTGTGTGTGTGTGTGTGTGTGTGTGTGTATGTTTCCTTTCTGGTTTTATGGTTTGAACTCAGAGCCTGAGCACTATCCCTTTTTTTCTTTTGCTCAAGGCTAGTGCTCTTCCACTTAAGCCACAACACCACTTCCAGCTTTTTCTGAATAGTTTAATAGAATTAAGAGTCTGACAGACTTTCCTGCTCAGGCTGGCCTCAAATTGTTATCCTCAGATCTCAGCCCCCTGAGTAGTTAGGATTACAGGTGTGAGCCACTGGTTTCTGGCTTTGTTTAATGTTTTAAGTTTGGCATCTGTAGAAGAGATGACATTTATCCTATCTGATATATCTCCTGTGTAAACCTAGATTAATTTTTGAACTTTTTAAAAATAAATTTAATAATTTTTAATGAACTTAATAAATCAAATAATTATTTTTAATAAATATATTTTTAAATTTTATTAAACATTTTTCATTCTTAAATATAATTTTGTTATTATTAAGTTGTTGTACAGAGAGGTTAGCATTCTGTAAATCAGGTACCCTGAGTGTAATTCTTTTTGCACAATTAGTTTTATTTATAATTAAATGTCTATAATAATGCTATATCTTAATAGACTTTTACAACTTGGATGATTAATTTTTTTACCCTTTAGAAAGAGGAAATTCCACATAGTGCTTAAGAAAATAGGATGTAAGGCAAGACTTTGAGTCTACCATGTCTACCATGAGTAAGTTATTAGGAATCTGTATGTCTTGGTTTCATGGAAAAAATGGGGACAGTAGGAGTACCTGACTCATAGGTTGTTGTGAAGGATGTGTTAAGTTTCTCACCAATATCAAGTTACAGTAACATGGTAAGTGCCACGTAGGGATTAGCGTATTTTTATTACTGCTATCCTAGAGAATTAGGTGACTCTACCTGATCTAAGACCACACAGCCAGGGCCATAGTTCCTCAACTTCTTTATTTTTGGCAGTTTAATATTGCCTTCGAATCATTGTAAAGATTGGGCACCACTGTTGAATACCTTTCATTCTTATGGAACACCTAGAAGACTATGCTCTTAGAAGTCATATAGATTGCCAATGGTGCAGTTCCATCAGAACCCAAGGACGTTCATTTTTAGCCCTAGAGTCTGAAACTCAAAGGAGAGGCAAATGACCATATAAGAAGTTTGATGTGGAAGCTGTTTATGCCATGACCAAGTCCTGCTCCCAGCTGGGACCCCAGGGAGTCTGCTCATGAGATCCTGAGTCCAGTTTTAGGAG